CTTGAATGGTGGCCTTAGGCCCTGAGTAAGACAGAGGTGCTTAAATACTGTAAAGAGCAGGGAATAACTTGTGAGCAGTGGGAGCTGTTGTGTTCAAAGGTTTGTCCAGCACTAAGAGCAGTACTGGGACTTTAGTGGGATTGATACAAAAGTAATAAAATGGACAATTAAACTGGTCTCATTAGAGGGATGTGCTTGTGCTTTCTCAAGTCAGCCCTGCACCTCCTGCTCGCAGTGCTTGTTACTCACAATGAAAGATTTCAATACAAAACTTGGATTGTCTGTTGCAGCTGAATGAAACTGCTTCAGATTATTGAGATTTCCCTACCTGATGATTACACAGGAACAGGACAGAGCCCTTAGAATGTTCACTTGGAGTTATCCTGGATTTACACAGTGCTTTGTGGAAACCTTCTTGTAGTCAGAGTGCTTGGAGGTGGTTTGTGCGTTTCTGAAGGATGTGTGGAACCATATGCAGAGCCCTGCCAGGAGAAAACTACTGGCCAGGGAGCGTTACTTCAGTAGCATTCTGGGATGGCTTCACCCAGCAGTATGGTGTGGAAGATTCTGAAGCAAGGGAGAGGAAGGCACCAAGGGAGACAAGCTCAATATTTCTAAGGAAATGCTTTTACAGGAAACTGAGACGAGCCAACAAACAGCTGGCCTAAGATTTCAAGACGTGGGCCACTGGTTGGACTGATTGTGAGGGCGCTGATTGTGACTGTTTCTGTTCCCAAGCCTTGAGTGTTGGGCACCTAGAGCCATTTGTAGAGTCTTTCATGGCAGAAACCCTACGTGCCACGAAGACCCGCTTTCAGAAGAGAAGCAGCAGCTGACTGTTGCACACCTTTTCTAGTGTCGGCCCCTGCAGCTTTACTGTTGTCAGCTGATTTATGTTCCTACAGTATTAGCACCCAGAGGCCCCTTAGGTTGAGGTCCTCTTTGCATGAGGTGCTCTTTGAGCCCTTGCATGGGCTCAGGATCTTCTTCAAAGCACCTCAATAAGGAGAGGAAACCTTTCAGTGCTTTTGTCTGAGGCTGAGTTATGCTCCAGGCAAAGGTGTGTCAGTGTACTTGGCTCCTTCTCGTTGCGTCCGGCAGTCAGAGGAGACCACAGAGTGATCAGTCCTCAACCTTTGGGGAACAACTGCCCTTGGCTGCAGCTCCAGCAGAGACCTTCACAGCGCTCAAGGGAAGCAAACTTGTGTACAGGACTCAAATAACCGTGACGTCCAGCACACCACCTCATTAGAGCTGGAGTGAGGGATTGTTCAAGTGCTTTTTGAAGGAGCTAATGAGGTTTGGCATTCAGATCAGCTTATTCCTAACTCTCGTTTTTCTGCCCTGGCTAAGCTGCTGCTTGTGGTAACTCTTGTTTCATGGTTGAGCAGCCCTCCTTTGCTGAGGAGCAGCCATTGCAGGAGCTTTTGACACAGACATTGAACTTAGAAGATCTTGGAAATGAAAGCTGAGGGCAGAACTTTTAAAAAGAGCATAACGTGGGTGATGCTTTTCACTTTACGTCTTTTGTCTGTGTTCCTTGCCTTGCACTGTAAATATTTGTGAAGGCAAGTTTGCTGCTTCAGAAATTTGTCGAAATGTGAAGTTCAGCAGTAAGAGAAAACAGACTTTGGATGTGCAGTCTCGCTTGGATTATGGTGCAGAAAAATGCAGGAGCACTTCCCGCTTGGTCCCCATGTGTTGCCTGGTCTAGTCGAGAGGTGGTGTCCCTGCCCAAAACAGGGAGGTTGGACTGGATGATCTCTAAGGTCCCTTCCAGCCTAGGCCATTCTATGATTCTTGTGAGCTGTGTGTCTAACCTAAGCAACTTTGACACCAAAACTTGGAAAAATGGGGAGAGATGCAATCGGTAGCCTTGTGATTCTCCCACAGGCCTGGGGAAGCTGCCAGTTGCACTGGGTGATGGCTTTTTCTCTCTGCATAAAAACTTCATTGTATAGCTGCATTATGGCCCTGCAAATCGAAATCCACTGACCAAAAAACCCCCAAACAACTGTCCTTGCTCTAACTTGGTTTTCTCCTCACAAGAAGCTGGTGAGATATAGGGATCGGCCTCCACAGTGGGCCCAGTCCTGGCGAGCTCTGCAGGGTTGTTAGCACCGGCATGTTTCACATAACGATACGCTGTGTTTGCTGTGCTGGGAAGCCACCAGAGAAATAGCTTGTTAGTTGGGAAAGAAAGTAATGACAGCATTAAATAGTCTTGGTTTTCATTTACTGTGTGCTGGTGACCTGAAGACACTGAAAATCCCAAAGGATGCATTTCCTTTTGATTAACCCCACAGAAGGATGACAAGGAGTAGAGTGACTGGTCCTGGTCTACTCCAACATCACCAGGGCCTGGAGCTATTCATATGCCGCTGTGTTCCATCTTTTCCTTTTCAGAAAGCCATTTCTGAACACTTTTCTCATTTGGCGGTGAACTGCTGCCACTGTTCTCCTCTGTCCTCACCATCTAGTTTTCCGTGCTCCTATCAGCAGTGGCAAAAGGTGAATTCTGTGCACTCAGGGCGCCCCCCCAGCTGCAGGCAATTTGCTCTGCCATTATTGCCCCAGTTACAGCGGTTTTGGTGCAAGGGACAGAGGGGTGGCCCTACGTAGCTCTCCATTTGGGGGTTTCCATGTCATGTAGCTGGCCTGAGGTAGGAACCGTGCCCTGAATTTCAGCCATTAAGCCTGTGGGGACCATGGAGGTGCCACAAATAATGTCCTTCCTAATTACACTTGATAGGTAGTTAGCGTTTAGGTAGGACAGCCTGAGGAGGAACAAAACTGAGGGATGGAGAGCCTGGCTTTGTGTCACAGCGTGGCAGAGGCAGCCTTCTGTCCTAGCTACAGGATACTCTCATTTCCTGTAATTACTGCTTTCTCTCGGGCATTTTTAATACCTTAAGCAATGGGGCGTGCTCAGCTTCATTTTGGAGGTGATCTTAACCAGCCAAAATTTCCACTGATGTATTTCTTGAATGTTCAATGAGACTGAAGAAAATATACCTTAATCCTTGCTTTATGCCCAGGTCCCACTTGCAATGATAGTTCTGTTCCTTGTTTTAAAGTACATAGGCCAAATAGACCTCCATTTGTGTTTTCAAGGGTATTTAGTGCCTGCCTCTCATTGAAAGTAATGGCAATTAGGCAACTGAAAACCTTTAAAAGCAACTTAATTTCTTGACCGTAAGTTGCCTGTGTGAGTTTACCTAGACTTGCAAAAAGGATGAAAGCCAAAGTGCATTAACTGTTTTGGCTAACTCCAGCCTTTCTGAAATGACTTGCTCCAGATGAATGCTTTGAGAGCTTTTGAGCAGAGTTAAATTTCTTTGGCAGGGAGTGGAGCAGTACAGGGCCTTGCTGCAATTTCTATTGAAATGTGCTTGAGGATGCCATCTTACTGGACTGTAAGTTTGATTGATGCGAGGGCACCTGAAGTCCTTGTACAGGCATTCTTTGTTATTTGTTTCACGCTTACAGAACACATTAATGTAGGTACTTGCCTTTGCTTCTTCCATCGAGTGCAGAGGCTTTATTCCTTCTGTGGTAATTTAACTGAACTCTGCCTGTGATTAATCCTTCTGACTGCACTTAGTTACCATGTGATTGTCCTTCTGTTTGCAGAGCTTTAGAGGCACCTATGACCGGATTCTCCTAATGCACTGCACATTGGCATCCTTCTGTACTCTCTAACATTTGTAGGAATTTTACTGCTGGCTTACCATCCTGACCTCTTACCCTAAGGTATGCTCTGCAAAATCCCCTGTTACCTCTCAGTTAGGCCATAAGAAATAGGCTAATGTGTTTAAGGAAGCTCAAATCCTGTACGGTGACTGAAGTCTCTGTTAGAACATTGAAAAGAAATCTCTACAGTTTCAAAGTGAAAGCAGGCAAACCAGTAATGAAACGGATTGCAGGGACTGAAGCTGAAAAGTGTCTTGTTTTGTTATAACACTAACCTGAAGAGCTAAGCATAAACTCCTTTACCCTCATATACCTTGTACTCTATAACTCTGGAGTTTACAATTCCACTAGTCCCCTGGGATGTGAACATGGCAGGAAGTTTCTGGATAGATGGCACCCCTAGATCAAAGGGTTATGCTGTAGTCTCAGGCTTTCTGAGGTGCTACAAGTGCTATAGGTACCTCAGCAATGGTATAAATGTAGGCAATTTAGCTACAGCAGCAGTTGTTTCATCTGCTTTTCTCCTTCCTGTCCCAGCGGGTGGCAGATTTGGAAGTATTTGGCTTCTGGTCTGAGTTGTGCCTCAGAATTACTTGTGCATATGCCATAAAAACTTATCTCCCTCTTTCTGCTGGAAAAAAATCTCGCAGGCTGGTAGAAAGTGATAGAGATAGGGGTTACAAACCAGTCTCCAGTACTGTAAGCCTGGTGTACCCCCTTAAATCCAGGTATGTTTGTATTAAAAATAAGTAAACTATTGTACTCCCCATTTTTTTTTTGTTATTCTTGGGGTAAGTCCGATGGGACATTACAGCTCTTTGGCATCAAATGAGGGAAATGATGCTCCTGCTGCAGCGCTGAGTTCAGTGGGAACAACTCCCATGTGCTGCACGGGGTCCAACAGCAGTGGGTGCGGTGAGAGACTTGTGTGTGCTGCCGTGCCCATACAGCCCTGGGGAGAGCAGCTGCTGGGGTGGAGTTATGTGTCCCCGTTACGCTGACAGCAGTCTTCCTCCAATGTTTGGGCTTTGTGGCCAAGATTTTGATGAAACGTGGGAAACGCACAGCTTGTATATATTTTTGTGTTGTTTTCACACTGCCTGACTTGAGCAGTGCCATACACAGGAACCGCGGTAGGCAGGGCAATGCCGGGGATCGGTGGCCGTCACTTGCGCTAGCAGTGCTGTTTTTCCATGTAGGCTCCTGATGCTGCAGGGGAACCCACCGGCAGCTGAATCAGGCCCAGCAACCGGCAGCACATCGAGCACACTCTCAGTTGCAAAGAGCCCATCGCTCCCACCCCTGCCATGGCAACGCAAGATGATTTTGCAGCAGGTAAAGGGCTGCAGAGACTGGAGACTTCTTCAGCCAGGGCTTTGTTGCAATCCATTCCTGCAGCCTTTGCCCAGAGGATGTTCGCCTGCAGCAGCAGTGCCAGCACCCAGGAATATGCTGCTTGGCTCAGGGAGGCAGAGCTTGTGCAAAAAGCTGAGTTCAAAGCACTGACTGTGAGACCCTGGAGATGCTGGCAAGTGCAGCACCTGTTGTTCTTGCTGTACAAGTGAGAGCCCAGCCCCAGAGGATGGGTAGTGGAGAAGATACTGGTCAGAATAAGGAGCAGGGAAACACTCTCTGTATAGTTTTGTATTTTCAGGAGCAGCCAAGAGCAGAATTTTTTTGAGGCAGGACATGTTTATTTTGGCTTTAGGTGTCTCTGCAGTAAAGAAAGCAGGAGATACAGCCCTGTATCAGTGAAGTAGAAGAAAAGAGAATGTTTAGCTGGACAATTTGCATCCTATGGATTCAGTAATCAAATAAGCCTACTGAATATTGGGGACATCCAATGCAGAGTACAAACCTTCTTTTACTTATAACACATAGTGATTGTTTGTGTCCTCAAACTTTCTTTGTTGTGAAGAGAAATTAATAAAAAATCCACAAAACCCAACCGCAAATTGAGTGTGAATTACGGAAAGGAAGGACTTTTAAACTAGCTTTGGAAAGCATCTACTTACTAGACATTGTTAAACTCTAGAGACCATTGTGGGTTGTCTACCCTTTAGAAAAGAGAGGAAAGAAATCCTGTAGTGATGGATGGGCAACTAGAGGAACACATGCAAATGTGTAACACAGCCAGACAGAACACTGTGAGGTCAAACAGACCTGTTGCCAAGGCCCGGTCTTCCTGGTCTTCTGTGGAAAAAAGGGTGTCTCTTGTTTTCCTTTCCATATCAAATACTGCACATTTGAGTAATTTGTACTGTCCTTATTTTAAAGCAAAGTACCACGCCCCAGTTGCTCTCTACTGTGGGAGCGTTCCTAAATTCAAATCCAGATACACAACTCTGCAAGGTGGAAGCGTGGATTCAGACACATGGTTTTGTGACAGCAGCTGGATTGACTGAAGAAGAAGGTGAGGATAGAAAGGGGCTAAATATGCAACGGTGGCCTCAGCCAAGTGAAGAAAAACGATTATTTCAGAGAGAAATGGTCCTTGGAGGTCAGTCCTCATGTGCTGGCTCTGTCAGATTAGGCGACTGACAGAGAGCTGCAGATGGTCCTGTGCTCCTCCAGTTGTCTGCATAATGTCACATCTCTCTATCATTAATTCCTTATGCTTTTTGCTTTATTAACAGTAGCTAAACCACTACTGCTGCCAGCCAGGACAGGGAGGATGGCCCAGGTGGCCATAAATCAGATGTTGTAGTGAGATGTGAGTTGTTCTTCTATCCTTGTTATCAACGTGTGGTCTTGCAGTATTTAAATATCTGCCTCTTCCTTTGCTTGTTGATCAGATCTGACCTTGAGAGTAGGATGGTGCCATAGAAACACTGGCAAGGTCTGCCTGCTTGCTGAGATGTTGTTATTTCCAGAAATACCAGTAGCACCTTGTGAGTTTTACTGGTAGTCTTCACAGAAGTCAAGGCCGGGAATGGGAATATATTTTCCTCTCTCACCCGCGGAGCCTTCAACCTCTCTCTCTTGGTTTGCTAGCTTAATGGTCCTCAGAAGAAATAAACTGATAGTTTTGTGAAAAATAAAAACAACCTGCTCTCCTGAATGACTAAAAAACTCCAAATTGAATGCCTCACTCATTAGATGGGTTCATTTTAAAAATGTGAGTTCAGCTAACTCCCTTCTTCCTTTTTACTTGATCTACAGCTTCTCTTCAGTCCACAGATGCCTGGCTCAGCCAGGCTGCTGTGCACAGCCTTGGCACTGGGGATGGAGGAGATCTCTCCCACTTTTCTCACCAAGCCTTGACCCAGGACCCCCGAGAGAGGGAGGTGAGCAGCGCTAGCCTAGAAACCATTCAGATCAAGGACAAGCTGAAGAAAAGGAGGATGTCTGAGGGCCTCTTACCCTCACAGAAAGGTAATGTGAAAGTCTGACTGTTCTCTTGTGGGAAGAAGGGTCTTCTCCCTTTCTTCAAAGACATGCTGAAAGAGTTGGGTTGTTCAAACTGGAGAAGAGATGGCTCCAGGGAGACCTTATAGCGGCCTTCCAGTACCTGACGGAGGCTACAGGAAAGCTGGGGAAAGACTGCTTACAAGGCTGCATAGTGACAGGATGAGGGGCGATGGTCTTAACCTAGAGCAGGGCAGATTTAGAGTAGATGTTAGGAAAAAGTTCTTTGCTATGAGGGTAGTGAAATACTGGACCAGGTTGCCCCGAGAGGTGATGGAGGCCCCATCCCTGGAGACATTCAAGGTCAGGCTTGATGGGGCTCTGAGCAACCTGATCTAGGTGCAGATGCCCCTGCTCACTGCAGAGGGGTTGGACTAGATGACCTTTAAAGGTCCCTTCCAGCCTAATGCATTCTATGATTCTATGACTCCCAGCCCAGAGAGCCAGTGCACATTCCCAGTGAAGAGTTCTCCCTTGCATGTGGCCTCCTGCAATAACCTGCCCCGCTCTCAGGGCCCTGTGTAGCCCTCCTGTTGCTGCAGGGATGTACAGCTGTGTGGAGGAGGAGGAGGAGGAGGGTGTATGTGCAGGTGACTTATTCTGGGTAAGCCCAGATCCGTGGGCTCCCTGTTTTCTGACGGGAGCACAGCGGACCAGGGTGTTCCTCTGGTAGCTCTGTGGAAGTGGGTTAAGTGTTGTCCACTGCCTTGCTTCCAGTGGCTGCCAGCATGAGCATGTTTCCATGTGCAGTTATGTAGAAGTTTCCAAGAAATCTGTCCAATGAAATATCTAGCTTCAAGTGCTTTAGTTTTGCAGTTCTGCTTCTGTTATGCGTTTTGTCTCTGCTTTGCAGGCCTGACTGACTGCAGTGACGCCAAGGGGGTTATCCTGGAGTCAGCAGTTTCTGGACCAGCTTCTCAGAGGTCTCTGATAACCTCCAAGCCCATGCCTCCCATCCAGAACAGCCTTCCTTCCTCAGAGCCCAGCGGGATGAGCGATGGAGAGCAGGAGCATGGGGAAAATGGCACAGGCTGTGGTGACAGTGATGGGAAGAACAAGGAGCTGATGTCAGAGGACAAAGGACATCAAGTAAGGAAACCAAATCAAATCATGTGCGGTGGACCTTGAGTTTATTTCCTGCAGGCAGAGTTCTTAGATCTTCTTTCTGTGTGGTGCGAGCCCAGGGAAACAGCTGAGCCAAGGAAGAGCTCAGCTGGACGTTGTGCTTCAGGCCGCCTTTGCAATGTCCATACTGTAGACTTCACGTCCTCAGCATTCATCAACAGAAGAGGTCTTTAAGTAGTTCTGTGCTCTCTAGTGGCTCCTGCTGTGTTTTATGACGCAGAAAATGCCAACAACCCCCCAGAGCAACTAAATATGTCCAATCTGGTCAAGCATATCCTTCCACAGTTAGTAAAGTACAGGTATCTGTGAACCATCGGTACATTGCAGTTAGTGCTGCAGACACACCACTGTCCTGGTGGCTTTTTGTATCAGCTCTGTCTGGTTTAAATAGAAGAAGATGTTTATTGGAGGAGGCAGTCCTGCAGACTCAAGTTTAGGTTGTCTCAGCTTTTGAGTTGTAAAGCCATGTCCTTCCTGCAGTTTCTTCAAATACTATCTCTAGAGTTCAGCGACCCCTGTGCAGCTTCATCCTCTCCTGTGGGTCTCCTGGGGGTAAGTGATAGGAGCTGCCAATTCTGGCCACAGGGAATGGAATCCAGACCCCATCCACTTGATTGTCTTTGCAGGAGGGCCAGAAGCTGCAGGTGGTTTGGTTTTGCCCTGGTGGGCAGGATAAGGCAGATGCGTAACAGCTTTTGTAGACAGGTTCACCAGTAAAAGCCTGAGTACTTTATTTCAGTCTGGCAGGTACAGGCCAAATGTATCCCTGACATTAAATCTGTTTGAATTCAAGCAGGTCCTGATGTGGCTTTTGAGCTGTGACAAGAATGATGGAAATGTGCATGTCTGCCCCAGCTTCCTCCATCGCCCGTGCTAGCAATGGCATGGGGAGCCTGAAGTAATTTCAGCAGGCAGAAAGACCTTGCACACAGCAGCAGGGTAGGGAGTTCTGCTGCACTTCATAAATGACAGTGAGCCTGAGATAATGAATTGTGAGGGAGCTGGAGGGCACATTAACATCTGGGCCAAAGAACTGATGGGGGAACTGTAGGAAGGGTAGAAGCAGAAAAAACGATGGGCTTGTGAAAAGCAGGTTTTGACAGCACGCAAAATGACTTTGTAGGGACTTGGCTGGAGTGCAGCAATGGCTGGTAGGTGACAGTGGTCTCAATCCATAGGGAGGACAGTGATCTCAATCCATTCCTGTACCATAAGAGAGGCCAACAGAGGCAACAGCACCCCAGGAGATCTTTATGCCAAGCAGATGGATGCCAGGTGGGAACGTAACCACTGCCTGAGAGGTTAGCGAGGGGAGAGACCTGGCAGCAGCACAGGAAATGGTGTCTCCTTCTCCACTTTCTGTTGCCCATTCCAGGCCAAGCTGCTCCATCAGTTTGACTTTTGCTGCAAGTCCTAACTACATGCAAGGCTAAACTTGTTGTGGCATCAAAGGGGGAAGGCTGGATGCTCAAGCTGAGCCCTGTGTTCTACTATTTCCAGGCCTCCCTGCTGCCCTTGTACTACCGTGGTGGGAATGGGAAGAAGTCACTGGGAGTGCCTTTGATTCCCCCTATCGTCAAGTCAGCGAGACCATCCGATGAGGCGCCTGGCAGCTCTGCAGTGCATCTCTCAAGCTCTCAGCACCAAGAGGCCCTGGAGATGACGTAAGCCAAAGCGTCTGCTTCTCCAATATGCTGGTCACCTGGCGCCTTGCATCTCGTGGGGTTATTCTCCACCATCAGCTCTCCAACGTACTTGGGCAAATTTCTGTGCATTCACCACTTTATGTATCTCTGATGCTCCAACACAATGTCAAAACCGCCATCATACACTCTAAGTGTAGTGGGGGTGGGGAAAAGGAGGAGATAGGACTTAAGAGGACCTTCAAAGCATGTCCTCTGCTGGACTCTCATGCTGATTCATCCTGTTATCTTTGTGGTGCCTTTTGGGACCTGTATTGCAACTGGTTTTTGTGTCATCTTTGGCTGCCAATTTCTGTACCTGCAAGAATATGTTAGGGCAAATATTGGCTGTTGTATAGCTGTCTGCAAATTCAGATGCTGCTTCTGTAAATGTCCGTCATAACTTCTCTGTGTCTGGGCCTTCACTGCAACATGAGAGCCCAGATAAATCTTGGTTTATAGGTGTCTAATCCTATAGATGTTTAATATTTACATATGGTTTTAAGATGAAGGGGGCAAGGTGCTATAGATAAGTTATAGGGCTGTAACTGATAGATATTTGCTGGGATATGCACGGGGAAATCTAGCTGGGAACCTTATCCTAGTTATAACAATAAATAAGGAGTCAAAGAAATATAGATCCAATTTAAAAGCTTCAATATGGCTTTTAGAGTGCAATCTGAATATACTTCCCTACCAGTTGAGTTGGAAAAAAAATTTTTCTTCTTGAAATGGCAGGGAGGTGTAGTATTATTCTTAGGAGACAGCAGTGGTGTCACCATGTGTAGTAAGATACGGCCACCAGTTGAAGTCATGACCAGGCAAAGTTAGGCTTCTGCAGCAGTATAAAAGTAGCTGCCCTAAATACAGATTTATGACTGGCTTAATGTCTCGTGCTGCTTCAGAAAGCATCTATGTAACAGTGAAAGCCACTAAGCTCCAGAAGGAGAGAGAGCAGAATTGGATATTTAAGGCCCAAACTGAAGAGTGACTCCTGTGTTTCAGCTGGAGCCTGATGAGCTCTGTGTCACTGCAGCAACTGCGAGCTTAATGGCAGTTAATCAACTTTGCATATTGTTGATTTTATAGGTTGCATTTCCTCCTTCATCAGAACAACCATGTTAAGGAAGTTTGCCTCCTTTAATGTTATCCTCCCTTCTCTTTCTACCTCCTCATATACTCTTTTGTCCTCATTTTTTTAAGGCCAAGATCAAGCAATAGCAGTGAAGAGAAGACCCTTGAATCTCCAGGTACGTGTAGAGCATGACTGTCCTAAAATGACAATAGGAATCCTGACCCCCAGGTGGCACTGTGAAAGTTCAACTGAAAACCATCCTGTAACTTTTTCTATGCCTTGATGTGCTCAGATGTTTCCAGTCACTGGGAAATGTGCTCTGGTGATGCAGTGAGAATGACTCCGGCATGGAGTTATGAATGGCAGGAGCTGGAGGGGTACCTTGGGGCCCCAGAAGTGCACAGCAAGAAAAAAAGCATTTCTCTACCTCATGCTTATACCTTTTGTCTCTCTGCATGCTCGCTAGAGGCACAGAGATTAGAGAAAAATGAGGCATTTTGCATGAAATGAGAAATGTTCCCACTCCTCCCTCCTACACTTGAAGGAGGAAACATTCCCTTGGAGCAGTTTCTGAATGGAACCTTTTGGGATCTGAGGTAGATTCATCAACATTGCCTAGTTCTGCACTGGGAGAATTAGCGAAACCTTGTGTGATGTGACGTCCTTGTGAACTCTGCTCTGAGAAAGAGCCTTAGAAAAAGGATCCAGCCTATTCAGGATCAGAGCTTTCCATCCTCTTAAAGCACAAGCTTAAATTAACAGCTGAGTAATGAACTGAGGTTTCCTTTGTGCAACTCATTTACCTCAACCACATGTGCTCGTTTTGTGACTACGAATCTCATCCCCTACTCTATCTGCATATGTCAGCATTGCAAACTGAGGATGGGGTAGATGCCTGCTGGCTTCTCCCTGCTCCCCATCTTGCATTGTCTGGTTGCCCACCTTGCAGTGTCTGGTGCATGTGTGTCAGCTAAAACGTTTAAGCTGAAAACCTTGATGACACTGTTGATGTCTCTTTGCCATCTGTGGGTTTATAGCTCTAGGAGAGATGAGAATTTAGCAAATTATTTTGCTGATGCAGAAAAAAGGATAAGAGCAACTGGTCCCTCAGCTTAGTGTTAGTTCTGCCAAATAATGAGTGTGCCCTGTTAGAATAATTTCTTTATTGCTGATCTGCAGCAGGATGCTGAATGCAACTCGGGAGAAGTATTGCTGAGTACGTAAGGTGACATTTTTGCCAGATACATTCTGGGCTAGAAATGAGCTATATCATTAAACCATATCTCTCTTTTTGGCAAGGCCAATCATCTCCATCTCTCTGCTCTTCCCTACCAAACACAGCTGCACACCAGAAGCCAAGGGCTGAGGCCTTTGTGGTCCATGCAGTAGGTTTGAGTCTGATGACCTACAGAGTAATGCCATTTCCCCTGCCGGTGCACTATGGTAGTGGCCCACCTGTCTGCAGAAGTTCTATGTCCCTTGCTCTTCTCATACATTACCTCTATCCATGTCTTACCAGAGCTCCGGACTCTGGAACCCATCTTACCTGTTCTTCAGCATCATGTTGTTGATGCCGTGAAGTCTGCTGGGCATCTACATGAACCTGTGCCCCCCTTAGCAGTCCTCCCACTCAACCAGGACAAGGAGATGGATCGTCTGATGAGCCCTCACCTCCTGAGTGACGATGACTTGAGGGACAGCAATGGACGGGTAAGGGCTAAGGGCAGGGGTAAGTAGGCTTCCTTTTCAGTGACTGTCCAGAGCTTAGCACAAAAGGGCAAGGAAATCATAATGTTCCTCTCTTGGGGAGTAGTCTCTGGGGAATACATTGGACAGCTATAGAGCAATTCCTTGAGGATTTTCACTGATGCAGAGAGCCACTGGTTGGGAGATCGTGCTAAGGTTACACAAGAAACATTCTTTACGTAAAAAGGCCAATTTAGAGCAGATCTGAATGGCAGAGCAAGTTACACATCAGTGAATGTGTGCAAAGTGCCTGCTTGGAAGCACAGAAGCAAAGATTATAAGGTTGAGTGTAATCAAGGCTGCAAAATCAAATGAGAGAGCTTGCTCTTCCATGGTTACTTTCCTTGCTGTGTCTCACAGCAGGAAATGAGAAGCAGCTGCAATTACTGGCCATGAGTGTTAAGAAACAGCAAATTACCTCTCATTGCTGTTTATTTGTGATGGCTTTTATACCCCGCCCAGGCCTGCAGGAACTGGGGTGCTGTCATAGTTCGAGTCTGTCTCACTGGGAACAAGAGCCATGCAGCTGCTTGCACACCCACACTCCCCTCTCTTTAGGGGTGGAGAGGGAGAAAATCCCACAAGGATTGAGATTAGGACAGGGAGGGCTCGTTCACCAGCTCTACCAAAAAGCCCTGCCTGACCCAACCCCTGACAGTCGTCACTGATATTGTGAGCTCTTCATACCTGTTGGAGCATGGCTGTGACTCTCTTGGTTCAAACAGGGCTTCCTGACATAGATTGAGAAACGGTACCTTGCCCCAGTGGAAGGTTATGGCAATGAAGGGTTACACATCACTGGGTACAATTGTACGTCAAGGTGAGGGAAGGAGTTCTTCTGCAGCTGCTGGGATGTATGCCCACTGCATTAATGACTATGACACTCTGCCCCTGTGTTCCTGAGGAGTTGTTGTGTATGGTTTGTGTGTCTCTCTCCTTATGCTTCACGATGTCTTTCCCTTGCACTTAGATCCACGTTACCTTGTCCAAGTCAGCTCAGAAGAAAATATACCAGAAGCGGATGAGAGAAATGGAACTCTTGCGCCTGGAGAGGGAGAAAGAGAGGGATAAGGAAAAGTCCTTGGAGTTCTCTACAAAAAATGTTGACCCTGGGGTTGCAGCCAAAGAAAGTAAGTGGTTGCTGTGTTTGTGGGCCTTTTGGTTCACTTGCTTGCTATTCGCGTAGTGTTGCAAACGTCTATAAAATCTGACTGGACGGCTGTTACACTTCCATCTGAGCCGGTTTGGATTTATTTCCATTTTCCAAAGGAAAATACAAAGGCATCAAGTGCCTTGCCCATGACCCACACTGAGTCAGTCACGGAATATCACCTTGCCCCCTTCTCAGCCCAAGGGCATCTGACAAGGTTGTCTGTTTTTTTTCTTGCTATTATTTTATGAAGTACTGGTGAGGAGTGCTGAGGAGGGAGCCTCGGAAATCTGACTTCCCTATCCAGCCTCTGAAACAGGAAAGCAACAGAAAAGCAACACTGAGTTTTCCTCATTTCTGAGGGAAAGCATCCCTTATTCAGTTTTAAACTAAAAGAGGGTAGATTTAGACTGGATATAAGGAAGACATTTTTTACAATAAGCATGGTGAAACGCTGGCACAGGTGGACTAGAGAGGTAGTCGAAGCCATCCAAGGTCAGGCTTGATGGGACTCTAAAGAAACCTGACCTAGTTCAAGATGTCCCTGCGCCCTGCAGGGGGGCTGAACTAGGTGATTTTTAAAGGTCCCTTCCAGCCCAATGCATTCCATGATTCTCTGATTCTCTGATCACTGTCCCACGTTAGCATGCAACTGTTATGCTTGGAGTTGTCTGGGTCAGCAAGGGCAGGTTACCCAGCTCCAGCAAAACTTGTAGCCCTTTCCAAGCCCATAGCCACCCTGTCCAGCACCCTCCACTTACAAGGTCCTTTTTGGTCTCTGCAGGCTTTGGACTACCGCCTATCAATGGGATGGTTTCTCTTTCTGCCAGCACAAGCAATGCCTGCAGGGAAAGTGCTGGTACTGCCTTGAGGAAGCGGGAGAACAGGTCCTCGCTGCCCAGCATCCACGTCAACACCGAGGGTTGCAGCTTCCCACGCAACTCCTCAGGTGAGCCTGCTCTGCTAAAGCCCCTGCGCCAGCACTTTCCTTGCAGAAGGAGCTCAAATTGTCTCATTCCTCAGGTCAAAACCCTGTCCTGAGGGTTGAGAGCAAGCCTGCTGTGGATCCACTCCAGCTTGGTGACACTGGAGCCCTTGGCGCTTGCAGATGTGTTGAAAAGTTTAGCTGAATAAAGTAGTGGCAAAGTCCAAAATGTAACACTGGTGGGAGGAGACAGCTGTAACTGCAGGGCTGAGCTCCGGTGCCATCTGACAGAGTGTGCTTGCTGTGTACCACCATGATCAGTCAGCCACTCACCGTCCTGGCCCTCTACCTCTGCTGCCGCTGCCTGTCTCTTCAGACAGCTTTTCTGCTGTCGTGGTGAGGGTTGTCTCTGCATGGAGATTAGTGACTTAGTACAATCGTGCTCTTGCACCCAGCAGGGCTTCATGGCTTCTAGCCTCTCTCATCCCACCACCTGCAAGGCTAGGTGGGAACAAGTGGCGCCTCTTCTGTCCCCCCACCCAAATATGGTGCCTGTGTGTGTAGCAGACGACACATGGGAGAGGCTGCCTGGTGCTCCCCAGCTGCCTGCAATAAATATACAGCAGATAGTGAGTCTGTGGGTAGCCTGCCTCTTGGTAGGATGCAGAGTGAGTTAAGAGAAAGGGAGCTAGGTATACTTTGAATGCTCTTTTCTAGTGATGCTACTTTGATTTTCAAAATTGACCAGAACTAGCCTGTCGTGGCTGCCCATTCAGACTGAATAGAGATGTGTGTATCTACATGCTCATGCAGTGACATCACTGATCTCAGTGACAGTGCTATGTGACATCCACATTAGCAGTCATCTGAATATTTTTGATTTTATAGTTCCCTCATCCTTCATACTTTGTAGAATAAGGTAGCACAAAACCCCTTTCAGTCAAGTTTCTTTACTGAAGGAGTGGTGAAGCATTGGAACAGGCTGCCCAGGGAAGTGGTGAAGTCACCATTCTTGGAGGTGTTAAAAAACCGGGTAGACGTGGCGCTTTGGGACATGGTTTGATGGTCATAGTAGTGTTGAGTTGATGGTTGCACTTGATGATTGTAGAGGGTTTTTCCAACCTTAGTGATTCTATGATTCTGACCCCCTCCTTACAGCAAACTCGCTGCCGGCCGTTGGCCTTGACTTCCTGGAGTGGGGAGAGGAGCCGGCGCGTGGGGCCTCCTGGGAAGCCAGACCCTTCCCTCATCCACAGCAGGAGCTGCTCAACGCGCTCACGTGGCTCAAGAGTGACGACTGGTGAGAAAGCCTTTCTTCTTCTCAGTGCAAAGATAAGTTATTGAAGCTTCTTTTTAGTGCCTCTGAGGCCAGAGAGCCCAGATGTCCAAAGAGAACTACTGAAACCACTCCAAAGCAGTCACA